CGCTTCCTGTGGTGTGGGCTCTGCAGGTGCAGTTGCATCCGGTGTGCACCCTGCTTCATGCTCTGGTGCTTTGTTCGGTGGTGCAGGCTTTGCTGGTGCTGCTGCTTTGCAATTAGCTTGGACCTCTTGGGGCCAGGCCGTTGCGTTCGGAATGGTTGGCTGCTGTGGCTGACGTGTGGCTGCACCCTTTGCTAGAGGTGCTGGTGTGACTGGTGGCACAGCTCTGGTTGCTTTAGCTGGTGTAGCAACTGTGCCAACCTTTGCATCTTTTGCTGGTCTTGTATCTCGCTCATCAGCAGGCCGCTTGTCAGGAGCACTTGGCTTGGTTGGTGGCTGGCACGGAAGGGCTGCCTTGGCTGCAGTGCTTGGTGGAGATTTCACAGCTGTAGTGTAAGGGGCTTGTGCAGCCAATCTGGCTGCCCTGGCTTGCTCCAAATGTTCCCGCACCCTTTCACTTGGAGTGGTACCGGGTGCTGGTGGGCACTTGGGGTTTGGAGCCTTGGGTGGAACGGATGGGAGAGGCGCTGCTGCTGCTTTTGCTTTCACTGGTGGCCTGGTAGATCCAGCAAATGAGTCATCAGCTTTCCGCTTGTCATCTGCTGGGGCTGCTGCTGCAACCGCAGCACGGGCCTTTCGCATAATCTCGTGGATTTCATTGGGGTTGCTGGGGCTTTGCACTGGTTGTGCTTTCTTCGGTCGCCCCATGAATCCTCAGGGCAACAACCCACCCAAATGTTTTTACGATGGTTTTACGGTTCCAGAGGGTTTTTTTACGGTTCCAGGCTTGATTTTTACGGTTCCAAGGTTATTTTTTACGGTTCCAGCCCTCTACCCTTTCCGGGAAACGACCACGCTCGAACACGCGTCATTGAAATCCAGGAGCGCAAATATACGCGAACTTTCCAAAATGCTGAAGCCACACTCGTGCATTGTACACATTATAGGTGTGAAGTGCGCTCCACGTGCTCTGCTAAACGTGCTTGAATGCTAACAAACACTTTTTCTCTGGCTGGACACCCGGTTCATGTGGCAATCCACAGTCGAATTACACAGTGCCAGTTGAATTTGGTATTCAGTTGTTCAAGTCCACTTGCAACATCACTGCCCCTTTCTTTTCTTGAGTGGGGTTGGATGAAGCATTGCAAAATACACATCAGTCTCTGCAGCACTAAGCGGGGCAACCCTCAGTGGCAGCCCTTCCCGAGGCTTGAACTTTTTCTCATGGGCCTTTTTGATCAAGAACTCCACGAAGTCTTCCTTCCAGGATTGGGCGTCAAGGCGGGCGGTGGAAGAACATGGGCAAGAAAGCTTTTCTTTTGACAAGCTATTTGGTGCCAAGTAGAGCCGAGGAACCAATCCTGCATCATCCCAGAAATTACTCCGAACCTCAACCACTGTGAGCAAAAGAGTTCCTCACACACCCAGGAGGTTATAGTGCTCCAATTCCCAAAGCATTTGACACCAGGAGATGTCAGGCCAAGCAGCAAAGTAGTGGGGGCCCTGGGACTGCTGGTGCTCATCAGGTCTTTGCGGGGCCATTTTAGTCTCCTTGCAAGTAAGAGCCGCCGAAAAGAAAGTACAAGCAAGGACAAAGAAGAGGCGGACACTGTTACGAAAAGGTTCATAATGCTATCAAGCTTAATAGGGTTGAGACTCCACACAATACTTTTTGAAGTACTCTGCGATGCGACTGCAGAATCGAATAGGATAGGACTGCGTATCTTTAAGCTTGGGGCCACCAGACCTCAGGTCAGAGTGTGCATCAATATGATTCTAACAATAAGATCAACAAACAATTGAACTGGGCCACACTGATTTCTTTCCAGTAGATTTGTTCACTGTCACCTTCATGTTTCCATCTGAAGACCACTGGTGCTTCTCCCTGTCTGCTTGCGTCACACGGGCAGCCAGGGAGAACATATGGATGAAAGGCCTAAGGTAGCGGGCTGGTCCAAAGACATAGACTTTTTCAAATCAGGTCCAACAGAACCTCTCGACTTGCCTTGGGACGTTCTTTGAACTGGTTGTTTGATGCATGCAGCAAAGCAGCGCATCCCCGAAAATCACCGTTCTTTTGAGGCTCCGGTGACCAAATAGTCCCATCCAACTGAGCCAATCAGGTTTCAAGGTTGAGCAAATCATTTGACATGTTGCGCGTTGCATCTTGTGCCACATGTTATTTGGACAAGCACTGGCCCATGACACAGGCCACCCTGCTCCCCTATATCATTGCGCTCAGGCACAACTTCTGGATAAAGCCAGCTTGGAAGCCCAGCATGGTGCGAGCTGGGTAGATGGCATGCTCAATGTAGTGCAGGTACATGGCCACTGAGCTTACTGGCTGCTCACAGATCCACCAAACCCCTCTGGCTAGGCAAATCAAGATGCACAGGGCAAAGCGGGCAGCAATCATGTTTGCTTCTTTTGTGCAGTCATGTTTGTCAGGATTTCCTCTTGGGTTACTGCGTGTTTTGCCACTTGTACCCCTTGAAACCCACACATGTAGGCTACAAGGTAAGCCGCTCCAGAAGAGGCTCCCAACTTGAAGTCTGAGCATGTACTGCAAACAAATCAAGTAGCCCAACCTCATGTCATGCGAAGTGATTCATGATGCCTGTGCAGTTGCATGCTGGGGGCTGGGCGTTGTTCGGAAGTCCATTGATTTGTCTTCGGATATATCATACTTCCCCGCTTGGAGGTCGTGACGGCCTCCAGCTCATATCAGATTACAAAATTTGAAAGGCTTTCCACGTCAAGAGAGAAGTTCTGCAATAGCATGAACACGATTTAAGGTACCAACGGCAAGCGGACCAAATACCACCCCAGCCACAAAATAGATCAAAGGCCAGCAAATCCTTAGCGGGTGACTTTCCCAAACCACATTTCTGAGGGGTGGCCTGGGCAAGGTGTTTCTTGCGCATTAAAGCTTATTTCAGGCCACCCCTTACAAAGATGGTTTGAGAGGATCATGGAAGCATTCGTGCCAAATTGGCAACTGTCCACTGACTGCTGAAGCCCGTGTGCCCAATGAATTCGAATCATTCCAAGTGTCCCGTCGGTATGACCTGCTTGATGTGGCTGTCACGTAGTCCAGCATATGGACCCTTGGTGCACTGAGCTGCCCAAATCCATTTGAAAGGGGTTAGACAAAGAAGATGCGGAGGTGGAACATTTGCAAGGCTTCATGCAAACCAGCAACAAGATTGGGGGGCCCCCAAGAGCCAAAATCAATGCAACTTCCATGGCCGTCAGCCCAAATCGAGCAGGCATGTTTGTTCAACACTCGAGGCTCAGTTCTTTTTACCTAGCACTTGGGCACGCAAGACTCTGAGGGCAATCCTCCAGCATTGCGTTTCATCAAACAGGCGAGGGTCATGAAGAAACACACTAACCTGCAGAGGAGTGCAAATTTTCCACAAAAGCGACTCTTCATCTCACAGAATCTAAAGCCGCTAGCGGATTAGCCTGATGGCCACTCTGAAACAAGACTCAAAACATGTTAGTAACATTTATTGATCAGATATGGCCAAAAACCTAATCACTCGACGCGGCACCCCAAAAGGCAGGCCTTCAGCCTCTTGCGCCAACACGCTGCCGAATTGCTAGTTCAGACCCGATCGATATAAGAAATGGCGGGCTTCCATGTTCATAGGATGAGAAAGAGGTTGACACAAGGTGGTGCCCTTTACAACATGTGGAGCCTCCCTTCAAGAAAGGCCACCAAGTTAAAACACGCAGTCTTCCCATGCAACTGACCCACACACAGATCTGAACATCACCGCACAGCCTGTAAGGGCAAATGTTTTGCTGCCATAAATCTACGAAGTCCGTTTCTTCACTGCACGAGTCTCGCCTTTCTTGTGCGTTTCTGTCAGCCGAGCCATCAGCTCCTCCTGGGTCTTGTAGAATTCCCTCATGCTATCCGTGAGGCTGCTCCCTGAATGCAAAGCATGGGCCTCAGCACGTGGCAAACATTCTACCTCTTCTCAACCTCTGATCTGAAACGCTGGGGGCCTAACCAAATTGACACAAATGAGCGCTCGATCTGCCATCTTCGATCCCGGGATGGCTGCGCCACCGATAAATGCCACCTGGCCAAAAAAGGCTTTTGATTAAAGAACGCATCAATTTGTTAGCACGCCTCCTTTTTGCGAGCGTTCTTGTGCTGAGGCTTCATTTCAACAGCAACATCGCCACGTGTCCAATAGGGTACGACCTGCGCAGCTGTGTAATGGCGCGTGCTCAACATGGTGCCTTTAAAGCTGATCAAACCTTGTAGTCTGGAAGTTCTGGCAGCATTGCCCTGATTGCCTTCTGCTCTTCTTCATCTGGCAGTTGCAGAAAACTATAGAATATTGGGAAACAAATTGAACATGTAAAGACTATAACGGTTGACTGGCCAGCGGGGCCTGCATGCTCACCATTTGGTGTTGGCTGCTTCTTTCGCTTTTTGGACTCATTGGCGCCGGCCGGCGTTTCACCCTCCGCAACCTGCGCAACCTTCGCCTGCTTTGACCTTCCGGATGGTCCTGGGTCTACTGCGTCCGCATCATCCTCACGGCTGGGAGCATCTCGCTTCCCACTCCGTCCACGTCCCTTTCCCCTCCCACGGCCTCTCCCCTTCCCTTTATCAGTCCCTTCCGCCTGCCCTTTTCCCTCACCTTCGTTGTCTTCTACTGACTTTCTCGGCCGCCGTTTCGACTTGGGAGCAGCAGCGCCAGGCTCACCAACAGCACCCATCAGTTCATCTTCATCCACCCCTTCCCCTTTCTCTGCCTCTTCACACGTCTTCCTCCCTTTCCCTCTCCCTCTACCTTTTGTTGCGACTGCTTTCCTTTTGGCTTCAGCTCGCCTTCAGAATTGACGAGACAGGACCATGGTTAGTGCATGCTTTAAAAAAAACGAGGACCTGTTTGTAGCAACCTGAACGCTGGCTAGTTTCTGCTTGGCTTGTGCCTCCAGAACATTCTGGATTTGCGTGATGTCGTTGACGTATGGGTGGATCAGACTTAGAACTTTGTCCATATTAAGGGCATTCTTCACCAAGGGCTCCCTCTCCTTAAGTGTGCACATGCAAACTTGCAAGTCTAGTATGCACATACCTGCAAATTGACAAAAAGTAGTCAGCCACGCCAAACATTGTCGAGCAGCAGCCCCCGTCTGGCGCTCAGGATCAAGTGGAGAATCAGCAGGGTCCTGCACAGTGAAAAGGCGCAAGAGGGCAGAGACGCAAAATACATCTAGAAGAGGCCAAGTAGACTCATGAGTAGACCTTTGGGCTCTCATTTACAGGCTAGCCTGTGACTTGTAGTTGTTCAAAAATTAGGTTGTGTTGAAACAACTGCACTCCTTGAGGTGTCCAGCGTGCTTCTCGGAATCAGTGCGCACGGCCTTCAGACCACTAGCAGTCACTAGCAGTTGAAACAATTTCAGAGTCCCCGCAATTCCTTCAAATCTAGAAGGTTCTGGTGTCACATCCCCGCTAATGACAGGCGTTTAATTGAGAGAGGTTCCCAAAGTCCTTTCCGCAGAAGCAACTTGAGAGGAGCCACTTTGAATGAATACAGAAGGGCATCCAAACATATATGAATGGAGAGATCTTCCAAACGTGCCTTCTTGGGCAATGAGTTGGCTGATTCGGAAACGGCGCCAGGCGCGACCTCCACAAGCAAGGCACGCTGGCACACTCAAGTTCAGGTGGGCAAATGAATGCGTGGTTAGGCGTTTGTTTGTTGTCCAGCAATGCCTCACCAGGTTCGGCTTGAAGCTGCTCTTCTTGAACTTCATGTGGTTCTTGGGGATCAACCTTGCAGTCTGTTTGCCCACAGAGGGTGCCCATGTTCAAAGGTTGTGAACTGTCTCAATGGCCAACTTGAATGCAAGGAATGAGGCACCTCCTCAGGTACTGGGTTTGGTGCAGCCTTCCAGTGGAATACACAATGAAAACGCATACAACGTTCTTGGACGTTCATGAACATGCAGCCACACAGCTAAGTGTCCGTCAGGCTCTTCCACTTCATCGCGGGCATGGTCAGGAACTTCAGGTGGGACCTTTCCAACACGGCAAGTCTGAATTCTGTTAAAAAGGAAGAACGAATTCAGCCCCTGACTGGAGATGGTTCTTTGGGCAAAGCACGGCCACCATCCTGGTGGATTGATATCATCTGGTTGAACATCCAGTGCTAGTTGAGCGAAGTGATATTAATTACCGTGGTCCTCCCCACCAGATTCTGCAGGCTCTGCAGGACCAGATTCTGTAGGCTGGGCTTCCTCCAGGCACGGTGAAAGACGCCGTCGGAAACAAATTTGGCTTAAGTAGAAAGACTAGCTAAATATGATAGAACTGGTGGGGTAAACCAATCACACCTCTGAAGATACAGCTGCTTCATGACCAGCTTCATGATGGCCAGGGGCCGCTACATCCTCCCAGCATGTGCACCCTCAACATCCACCAAGACAGGCCAACAAGCTTTGAAAGCCACTTTTGGAAGGTGTCCGCACTCAGTGGTTTTTGAAGCGAAAACGACCAAAAGGCGGACACCTCCAAAAGTGACTCTTATATTGTTTGGCAGGTGGGATTGAAGCTTTGGAGAGCAGCTCATTGACTTACTTTGAGGACTGAGAGCGGTTCGCTGGCCTCGGGACAAGGGGCAGGTTCTGGAAGGTCCATGGGCACAGTTTGCATTTGATCCACTGCAGATCCGGTTGCAGCAGTCTGACTGGCCTCTTCGGCCTGCAGCTCTTCCTTGATAAAAGTGCACTGATACAAAAGTTCTTTGCAGTTGGGATGGTGGCCCCAGAGCTATTCAAGATAAGGATCCGTGGAAGGAGGCTTCTCAATTTGGTACTTCTCGTTCAGGATGTTCTTCAGTTGCTGAATCACATCAGACCTGGTTTGCACAAGTATTGAAGGGTGACCTGTCAAGATTTTGGAAGTGTAGGAAACTGTGGCAGAGTGGTACCGGACTAATTTCAATATGAGGGGCTTGGAACGGAATTTTGTTTTCCTCCATAGCCGCACCATGTAGGTGCAGTGCAGCCGCAACACACTGGATTGCCACTCTGCCCAAGTGTCCAAATGCTTTTGCAAAGTCTCTTCAGGGTGCAAGGCAAAATTGCAGTTGATATACAGGAATGCTGCCTGGACAAGCGCGTGTGAGAGGTTTGGCCACATGGCAAGGCACATCAGGGAAAACTCATGCCAGTACAGTGACATTCACGAGTTCATCAACCTCAAGCAAGGCACTTTGAACTTGGATCCATTGGGTATCTCTGTTCCAAACTGCGCCATTAGTAGCGACACAGGGCCGAACAAGAGCGCCACGGTCTCTTCTGAAGGTTCCGGGGTTGCTGTGCCCATTAGATTATGGGTCTGGTCCTTCCGCACAGCATCTACTCCATGTTCCTTGACTAAATCCTCAAGGAGGAACTTCAGGAAATCCAACCTCAATTTGTTGGAAGCAGTGATGGAGGTTCAGTTGTGGAATTCAGAACAGCTGGTCCCTCTAAATAATATTCCTGGGTGCTCAAGATCAGTTTCGTCTTGCACACCCGACATGGCAGCACAGGATCTGACAAGTGGAGCTGACAGCTGATGGCTGCGTGTGATTGAAAAAGTGCAAAGAGACCAAAGTGATCAGGGCAGGACAAAGAAAAGACACAGAAAAGGGCGGGCAGCACCTTGAGTCTGGTGCTTCCATCTAACCAGGGCCCGCTTCATAGAGGGTGCGCAGCTTCTTGAGAAAGATTCTCGTTGAACATGTGCAAGATTCTTTGAGAAAATGGTGTGCAGCTATGATGCTATGATACTTCCATCTGAAATCTGATCATATTTAATCATATTTTGATGTATTTTGACTAAAGTCATGCCTGGTTCCAGGAACCGGCTTGGGCCACACCCTGGTTACAAGCATTCGAGGTAACTGCACAGTTCCAAATATAGAGGTCCTTGGACGCCTAGGGATGTACTACGTGTGCGCGAAACACAACTGGGCGTACTCTCACCCTCAACCCTGACTAACCCTGGAGCTTTGTGGAAATTGGCACCCTCCGAATCCAGATGGCCTACTCCCACCATATTCACTCCATTTGGACCACCAAGGAAGGATATCAGCTGGACCCTGACATCCAGGCCATCAATCGCAAGCGTGGCCAGAGCTCCAAGCGAGTTTGGACTCTCCTGTGTGTGGCACGGCATCATGCATGTACGTCGTAGGAGAAGGGGGAGGAAACCTTTGGCATGAAGCTCCTAGAAAGATCCTCCTCAAGCACCTGTCATGTCCTTTCAGCCAGATTTCCTCCTCAACAAGTTTGTAGCGCTTTTTCAGATGCACCCCGTACATCCCCGTACCAATAGGCATCCATAGATCAACATAGGGACGTCGAGCAAAGGACCTGAAGATGAATCAATGACTTCATCAGCAAGACGAGCCGTGTGGCGGTTTAGAGCAGGGCGACAGGACTCCAAAAAAACCATCCGCGCTCCCCTCGGGCGGAGCAAGCTGACGCGACGGGAGGGTTCCACATGGACATCTTCAACCAGGTTTGTAGACCCACATGGACCTACACATGGACCCTCCTTTTTTTGGGGCTTTAGGGTCCAGCTGAGATGCCGAAAACACGAGATTCATCTTCCAGTCGGTGGCCGAAGTCATTGGGGCATTGCACAGCCTCATGACTCTCTTTTCAAAGAGTATGGTTGATGGACCAAACCTCCAGCACCAGCTAAGCTCCGCTGCAAACTAAGAACAGGTGTGCGGATTCTGCAGAAGGAGGATCCGGATGTTTTAAAGCAATCGAGATGCATGTCCGGTGGTGGGTGGAGGCCTTTGCCCAGCAACAAATTCCCCAAATACCCTGCCTGTTTAGTTTTCAGGATCCACATGAAAGAACTTGATTGACACATGCGAATCACACCACTGAGCACAGCAACAGCGGTTGGTACCAGTAAGCCAAGAGTTGGCTACCGGCAACCGGTATACAGTAGGGAACTTGTTGGCCTTGCATGGGAGCTTTAGGCAGCAGTTTGGTGTTGGAACATCAATGAGGATGCTTGTATGCATGTCAGAAAGGGGTGTGGGGTTTTGGTTTGTGCGCATCCTAATAAATTAGTCTAATAGTATAAGCATGCAATTGTTTGCGCACAGTGTGGTAATGTTGTGAACCCTACATTTGCGAGTTTCCAAGGTGTTGTTGCTTAGTTGCTTTTCGTGCATTGCAAAGGCACATAGCATGAATCACATCACATGATATGATTTCAATCCTTCGAACAAATCACTTTAAAAAAGGGATCGCGTAGCAGCCATAAGAACAGGAAAGGTACGGTCGAGCCATGTTCGGCCGGAGGACTGGAAAAGTCTTAGTCAGTCTTGTAGTACTGTTCCTGCAATCTGCTGACGCACGTTGATGACGACTCTCTGTGGAGAGTGCACCCAAGACGCTGCATGACCGCAACCGAATCCCCGTCCGAGCGTCGAGCGTCTTTGCAGCGACTCGTTCTGTAACGGCTGTGCCCGGCGGCTTTAGGAGTTGGCAGCAAGTGACAGATAGTGACAGCAAGTGTAAGCATAACCTCGTTGGTCTCCGCTTACATAAGGCTATCCCTCGAGATCTCCCACCTTTGCAGTGGCAGTGATGTACTTGGACAACGAGCGTTGGCTGGGAGCCAAGGATTTCAGGGACCAAACCTTGAAGAGCGCAGTGAAAAAGTCACAAACCGTTGACAGGTGACTGCCGAGACAAAGCTAAACGTAATATGCCGCAACAACAAAAGTGAAGCCGCTTGAGAGCTCGGATAGCTTTCATCAACAGGACAAGTTGGGTCACGCTGATGTAGTAGGCTTCCTTAGACAAGAACTGCTAAGCTACAGAACAGCTTCGTTGATGTGTCCCGCATTTGTGGTTTCTTCATATCTTCACCTCACAAGGTAGCGAGCAGATGTGCATTATATGTTTCCAAATAGTAACCTTAGTAATCTGACATTTCATTGACTTGTTCGAGCGTGTTTGAACATCACATCGATGCAAGGTTCTTACATATCATGTATGGCAATTTTTGCAATGTCCGCTGCTGTTTATAGCTTGTCAGGGCGAGTTTTGGCAGTTTGCATGGCAACACACGCAATGTTCGGACAGCGGAGTGGACCTGGCAAGAAAACGGCCGCACATGTTCTTTTAACAGCATCCTCATCCCTTCTTCCCGCACAACACACGACCCACCGATGTGATGCCGACAGAAAAATAACCTACAGATTTACCATCATTACACAATCGACTCAATTTTTATCCTCTAAGTTCACCTATCATCTAGTTTTTTCGTGACTCCATATTCAAGAAACCCCAAATCCCACTTACTGGTAATTGATTCGGTTACTAGAGCCGCCACAGAACGCAGGTCGGGTGTACCTTTCATCATGAAAGCAGGCAAAGGCAGCGATGGGCAGCCTTTCGATGGGCTGGAAGGGGTCGAGGTGGTGTAGGTTCGACACTTGGAGCCTAGTTTTGCCAGCAGTCCAGTCATGTATTTATAAAGTCAAAACACAAAAATATACAGTACTATGAACAACAAAAAACAACCACAAAATGGATGCCACACGGTTTTTGTTAGGCCGGCGGATGGGAACAAGCCGATGGGATCCCACCTCGCGTCGCAACACTGTAAGTCCCCAAAGTACATGGATTTGTAGCAGAGAGAGAGAGTTTGCCTTTTGCCGCAAAAAAACAAATTTGCGTATCACAGACCAGAGAGGGCTCTTCTAATGACGTACATGCAACATAGCCCTGCACATGCTTGGGATTTGAAGGAACTTCGTTTTCCATGGAGGCCATCCAAATGTGCCCAAATGTTCAGTTAATATACTGCAGAACGATGATGAATTGCAAGCAACACCTGGGCCCTGAGACTGACATACTATCCTTTGCCCACGACGGCCAAGATGAAAAGACATGAACAAACGAAGCATCTCACAGCTGGCTATGCTCTTCTCAGTTTTGGGAAGGGGAACCAATTTTCCACTGTCCTTCGGCTTTGGCATGGGACATCACACTGTGTCCGTGGACCGAAGGGAGGGTGGACGCACCGACCCGGAAGAGGTCGAGTTGGGGGTCTTGGGGTCGTTCAAGTGTCAAAGGGCGCCGTAGGGTCATGAACTTTGAGCTGGGATTCCTCTATTTGCTTCAAGTCCTTTGGAAAGTCACAGACTTCAGAGAGGTTCCACCTGACAGCCGGAGGTCTTGAAGTGCATCAGACCATCGTGCGGATTCAGCCGGGAGGCTCAGCTGAAACAAGGCAAAGCCAAACTCGGTTGAAGATCGAGATGGTTGTCGCCTGGAGATTACCAGGCTGAAAAGATCTGTCATCTTGGGAGCCTTGCATCATGCTTGCAATATTCGCGTGTATACACATGGCTCCCTATTCTTTGGCCAATTGACACGTTACAGTTACATACCCTAAATTCTTCATAATTCTTCACTCACGTGTTTTCCCAATTGGGAGCAGCTCTTGTAGATGCACCCCTGAGCTCTGAGGTTCAAAAAGGCGCCGCCCAACAGCCTGTTCGGCGCCACTGGGATGCAGCTCGTTTTTGAGATTTTGGGCTCCTTGTAGCTGTTTTTGTCCTGACAACTGGTAGCTTCCACATATAGATTCTATACAGAGCAGTTGAACAATCCAAAGTTGATTCTCATCCATCTATATAGGGTTACATAGGGCCTACCATGGCTTACCATGCCTTGGACCCGTGTGTTTGTTTTGAGATGGTCCTCCAAAGAATTGAGTTCTTCGAGGGTCATGCAACAGGCTAATCCTCAGCTCCGGGTCCCGTCGATGTCAACGGCCCGTCAGGGACAACCATCTAGGGACGCCCTGGATGTCGTAATGAGAACGTCATGACACGTCGTAATGGCAAGAGATTTGATGACTTCATGACACCCTGTCGATGGTTGTCTCAATGGCTTGGGAGCCTGCGCAAGAGGGGCTTGCCTTTGAAGGAACCCATGCCAAGAAGCAATACTGTAGAAATGATACCTTGATCCCGGTTCGGGAAGTCTTTTCACAAATTTCTTCTCCCCATTGGCCAAACGCAGCAACATGCCAGCTGTTTTCGCGTCGTCAGGAGCAGCCGCAGAACGAGCTCGTGATCCGAATCCAACCCAATGAAGCCATTTACTACAAGGCCACACAGTCGGAATCAGCTCGGACCTCTTTTAAAGGTTGTTCTTCAATGGTGACTGCGTTAAGTGGACATTCACACGGGGTGAAACAGTTTCATCATGTTTGATCCACATCATTACTTTATGAGTGAATCGTAGGTTTATATAATCATGGATATATCCGCGAATGCAAGTGAATCCACACATCACCTGCCTTCAGCTTGGGGGCGACTGCAGCAAACTTCGCTTCTCTTGTTTTTCAATCGAATGCGTTGGCTGCGGTGCCGCTCAGTACCACGTAGTTTAGGGTCATTTGACCCCCCAAATACGTAAGATACCTATATATATAATGATTATAATGAGTCAGACCTTCTGAAAGGAGGTAGTTCAACCGCAGCTGGGCCTGTCTGGGGGTCGCAGTGGGTCATTTTTGTGTTTTGTTTTTTTTCGTTTTGACCAAAACTGCACCCACAAACCGACGAGTGCCTCAGATCTTGGCGAAGATGCCTGGTCTCACGCAACAGGCGCGCGAGAGTGCCGACCGGTATGGTGGTTTGTGCGCAAGGCACAGGAACGAGCAGGACATGTGTGGAGACAGGAACGAGCAGGTGTTTTTGGATGTTGGATGGAATGTTGGAATGAGTACCATCCCAATATATATACACATTGAGGAAACACGTAACTAACAAAAAAAGAAACAAAGATACACCAAGCTCTCGTGTGTTACTTTCTCTTCACCTTGCCCCAAGTATTGCGATGTATTTGTGTTTTGCACCAGTTGAACATCCAGTTGGCTCACAGGGAGATCCCGCACAAATCACCCTCACTCGGAGGAGATGAAATATTCAGTGCTGCTAGAGAGATATGTAAGCTCACACAACGCTTACTGTACCTTATGTCAACGCATGAAGATTGTTGGGCTGAATAGTTGGATTTAGTGCATGTACTGCAAGAGAGAAACTGGGTGAACATGGAAAACAGAAGAAGATTCAACAACTGGCAACGTGGAATCCAATTGATTACACAACATGGCTATGTTGTTTTGGTTGCTGTTCACCGTCTTAGAAATGCAAAGCAGCAGTATTTTAACGACTCGTTCGGTGGACCGAGGCTAGAGATGTTGAGCAGACCGTGCTGGATTTGGACTGCCCATCGGTTGTGTGTGGCACATGACGGTCTGTGTGTCCCATGCTTTTGCCCGGACCCTTTCAGATCTGAAACAGAGAGAGGAGAGACATGTCTTCCTCGTGTTTTTTCCTTGGAGAAGTCAGCGGCCGCCAACCACCGATGTGTCTTGAGTCTCGGACCGCCCACAGCGGTCGGAGGACCTCAAGAAGCGTTTCGAGTTGCGGCGAACCCCAGAGGCGTAAGAGTGTATATTTACTGTTTACAAGATGGTTTTACATGGAATTTTCACATCAACATGTGTGTAACATGATGTAACATGTGTAAACTGATCTTACTTGCAAGGTATCATGAAGGTGCTTCTTCAAAACAAAGCTGCTTCTTTTTTCCGTGTGCATGTGTGATCATGTGTGCATGCGTGGCCTGTTCTAGATAGGTCATAGTTTAGTAGATGGACATCCCCTCCATTCATTCTCAGGAGCAAGTGCTGCTTGGGGTGTCTCTTGTAGCAGCGTAGCAACCAGGTTCCATGTGTGCCATAGTCCTTTTGATCCAATTTCATCACCAGTCCGCCGGTTGCATCACATGCTGACGGTTGTGCAACTGGTCAGTACCACCCAGTACTGTCAGTGCTGGTCTTTTCCCAGACCAGTTCAATCCCAGACCAGCTAAGGCAGCTCAGGTGAAGGCATCCTCACCGTGTAGAGCGTTTTTGTCAATGTAACTGTTTTTCTCAAATGCTGCAGGGATTCTTGTGGAATTGTGATGATCTTTTGACCAACGCAACCATCAACCTTTGCATCTTTGATGCTGCCTTTGGAATGATTTTATTGGAATCAGCTTTGACCCGAGTTACTTCTTGCTACTGCCACGAATGCTGAATGCCTGCCTTTCTGTGAGATTCCAAACACCATTCTTGAAAACACAAATCTATCAATCTATCCACTCATCATTACTCATCCATTCTGCCCTAAAGAGCTTTCGATCGATTCAGCACAAAGAATCCTCCAAGCGGGGTCGATCGATCGACGCACTCCGACCGAAACACCGCATCCATTTGCTCAGCTGATCGAGAAAGCTATGCTTTTGGTTGCAGCTCCGGTAGTTAAACGGTGCCAAGGAGCTCAAACATTGCCCAACCAGCGACCCAGTCTCGGGTCTGTATACCACTTTCAAAGCTTTACCACCTATCAACATCCATCAACTACCAAACATGTTGATTGGTCATACTTGACATGTTGATTCCTCTCCCAGCGACTCTTGAAAGCTGCAACCAATGACCCGAGACGATGTACCTTGGGCTTTGCTTGTGACTGTTTGTTTGCCCTCAATCAAGCAGCCTGCCGACAACGCCCGGGCGGTTTCGCCCTCTACCCACCCTTTATATAGATGTTTTTTGCATTCAAAGCGTATGAACATCAGATTCATTTCTATGACCATGGCTCTTTCATGCTATTTCCAAAAATACCCTGAACATGGTTCCCACACCTTAGCCCAGGCCAGATCCTCCGCTTCCGATACTGTATAATTTTGCCGGAAAAAACACTCTCCATCTTCCGAACCGTGAAAGCTTGCTTAAGCTCCCGAGCTCCCCCCCCCCACAGCTTTCACCTCCACGTGTTCACCGCGCCCGCGACGACCGCGACGACCCGCGACCCGGGCCATGGGCGAGCGCCATGCTCCGCTGGAGCGTCCTGTGGGCGGCATCGGCATGGACAGAGGACGGTGTGTAGAAAGCTAGGTCTAGGTGGGTAAATGTTTAAGTATATAAATAAATAAGTAGCTATTTTGATGGACCACACGGTACCTGGTACCCTTTGAATCCTTTGAATATACTATATTCTGCATATTGTTGCATAATATAGCTAAGGACTTCACGAATAGACACTTGTAGTTCGATTGAATGTACAGATTGGTGGACTATATATACTACAACTCAACTGAGACATATACTAGTCATGTCAACATGATTGACAAGCCCAGATAGATATCTAAGCATTGTTACTGTCTTTGTGTTCACCTCGTGAAGCGCGAGGGCTGAGATGTAGCGCCAGGAGCTCTCCGGCTCCTGTCGCGCTGGGCAGCTGTTGGAGGACCCCAAGGTAGGAGCTGTGATTGTCGGAGCTCTTTGGCCAACAGGAGTTCATTTGGACTTCGGACTTATCATGATTTAGCTGCAGGTGAATGCGTGTACTGAGTGAGACTGAGTGTACTGAACCCTATTTCACCAAGATTCAATGTAGATTTGACACCAAGTGAAGAAATGTAGAAGTCATGTGATGGTAGCAAGGACGCTACGAACGGGGCTCCTGGCCTTACTACTAATAAGCTACTACGACCTCCTGGCCTTACTACTAGTAGCATTCTTGCTACTAGGAACAATTCCACCGACCAAGAGCGGACCTGCGAGCGAATTTCACGGTCGACCGCACGGCCACCGGCGAGGTTTGGAATGGCTCCGTGGACGGCCTCGACTGCCATGCGACCTTTGGAGAAAGGTGCGAAGGTTTTTTGTGCCGTGGTAGTCCATAGGGGAGGAAGAAGACACCGTATGTAAGCTTCTTACGAGTTTCGTGAAGTGGTGGTGTTGGGTACAAACGCTTTCCAAATGGGTTGGAGGAGTGTGAGAGAGTGTGAGAGCGAGTTGAAGACCTGCCAGCGCACGACTTGGATCGTCGCCTTGTGGAGGGTTTTTGATCGGCAACTTGATGGTCTCTTAACGTCTAGACCACATATCACATACTGAGTGCATGAGAATCGATTAGGACGATCCCCGACGCATCTATGAGTTGTTCTTGCTCCTGGTAGCGATGCCCGTTGTTCCGTTTGTAGCTTCTTGTTCCTAGTAGTACGGCCAGGAGCCCCTAGTAGCGTCCTTGCTCCTAGTAGCGATGCCCTTTGCTCCTAGTAGCGTCCTTGCTACTATAGTAGTAAGGCCAGGAGCTACGTTCGTAGCTTCTTGCTCCGGTTGTAGCGATGCCCAGAGGTAGTCCGGCTCCACTTCTCCGCGAGAGGTGTTGTCCGGAAGCACCTGCGCAGCAAGTGCTCGCCTGGATGCAGTTGGCGTCTGGCCGGGTGGAGGGTGGCTGAGTTACTTGGGGGTTGGAAGGTGAAAGATCTGCCAACGACTGCGTGTGACTTCAAAGGCCCTAAAGAGTAGCCAGTGCTGCAGGTGATGTTGCTGGAAATTGAGTTGAACACCTAAAAAAGGTGATTCTCATGGCGAACATTGGCGAACAGTTTTCGGAGCCCCATCGTGGAATGATTTGCTGCACACCAATACACCAATCCAATCAAACATCATCAAACTATCAGTGACACCGTTGATACAGAAGTGGCCTAGTAGACCTCAGGTACTGTGTACGGGAGGCATTTGTCTTATGTTCAAGTCCGCTTTCTCTTCGCATCTTGACTCTATGGAGTAGTGCACACAGTGGGCACACAGTGCGAATCTCGCTGTCTGGCAGACCACAATAAGCAGCAACTGGCTTCACTGGAAGTTGCGGTGAGCAACGCGATGGAGATGTTAAGCCCGACCTGTTTGCAGGGCGTGCAGAGGAACAGGCTAGAAGTGTCCTTTTTTGAGGTGAGCCTGTTTGTATGAGGCCTGCAGAAATTGACAAGTAGAATCCTTTGAACATGTATTGGAAACCGTTCCTGTATCTATATTTGGGGACTAGAATGCACTCACCTTGAATAGGGACAATGACTCACCTGGTCGCGACGGGTGGGTTCGCAGCCTTCAACCGATCACGTGATGAATCGGTCGGTTGCCAGGAAGTCATTGATGGACAGCCAATGCCAAGAGCCACAAGAGGCCCAATGATTGGCACGATTCGGCGGCTTGAAAGAAGGGAACAGTTCACAAAAAAGACAAGACACGAAAGTGAAACATTGTCAGCTGGAAGAGTATCTTCCCCATTTTGTCCTCTACAACTTAATGTTACCACTTCCATGTTTAAGTTTCAATGGGCGAGTTCCCTGTGAAACAAACAAGTTCTTTAGATCTTGGAATCTATTTGGGCCTTGACTAGCTCGCTAGCTCACTACAGCTCGAACCTCCTTGGATTGTTTGGGGATCACACAAGGAATATCTCAAGGTGTGGGGAGTTTACACCAGAAAAGCATCCAATTCGTCCGACACGGACCCATCGGTATCCACGTGGATTTGGAAAGTCATTGCTGAGAGGGATTGAAATGCAGGGGAGTCCTCTATACCGTCTATACCCATTGCCACCGACGCGGGAGGTGCTACTCATGTCGCGTGCGGGAGCCTTGAAGGCAGGGGGCATTGGTTTTTGGTGAATGTCACGACACTGCCATGTTCAAAGCCCCTTTCATCCAGCAACAAAACTTTTGGTGACCAACAATGTAGCTTAGCCAGAGAACGGACATGGCCCATGGCCGTTCACTGCTGTTCACTGGCGCAATTGGCCGAAGTTCCCAATCCAAGCGATTCTGTTTGGTCGAACTGTTCATCCGCCCATTCGGACATTTACCATGGTTGGTTGTAGTATCCGGATTCTTCTTTTTCACTCATTACCCTATGATTTAAGCGCAAAAAGGAAGTGCAACTAACTATATAATGCTTCATTAACACTTGTGCCAACTTGTCCCTGTACCGTTGTTTTTGGTTCTATTGTGCTCGGATCGTCACCAATCAACTAAAATGCGTTTGGAGATGTTTGGAGGTATTTTGAAATGCAAAAATGATATGACATGCGATGAGGTCGGTGTTTTGCTTGGGCACCTAATTACTGTATTGAGTGTATTGATTGCGCGTGAGCTTGAGAACAGAAGTTTCACCTCTGTGAGTTGCGAAGTTTCGACCACTTCCAATTCACGACATGCACCGCTTGCAGGTTGATCACTGTAACCGTTTGTTTGTTGGCAAGAAGTACTGCTGTATTTTGTTGGCAAGATGTACTCCTTTCAGACGCCTAGAAGTCGCCGCGGAGGTCAGATCAGCGTTCGATACCCTCCGAAAGAAAGAATGATATGTGTTGTGACCGTACATCATAGTCAATCATTGTTCCTTTGAACTCTCATGATGGCCGTGCTTTCTTTATCTTTATTCTCTCCCAACTACTGCGCTGGTTGCGTGGTTTTTGTTTCAACTCAAGCGCGCAGCTTCCAGGCCATGGTGGAGCATGCGCAGGACATGCTGGGCATCATCGTGCACTTGCTGATCTCAGGTGGTCCAGGGCGCTGACCCACAATCGCTGCGCAGGTGAGTCAA